ATTAGCATTTCTTTTAAATAACTTGTAAGCAAAATCTCTTTCTTTACTCAACCTTCTGATTTGACCATCATACCAAGGCAGATCTTCTTCATAGAAAGTAATTGTAAGAAACTATTTGTAGTATTTGTATTGTAAGTGAGAAACTATTTGAATATCCCACGCCAGATTTGAAACCTTTGGACTTTTTTTATGGGGCTATTTGAAGCAAAAGGTGTACGAAACTGAGCCTGCTTCAATATTGGATATACGGCAGAGAAGATGACACAGTGTGTTGAAACAGCTGTTACCATCAAATCTTAGAGTTGTGTAAATTGTGAAGTATTATTTTCACCCCACCCATTCAATACATTAACCACCTCAAACAGAAATCTGTCAGCCCTCCGGCTTCTACGCCTATGGCCGCTCCTTTCGGTCATTACCGTCTCGAATCGACACGTGACCGTTCCTGAAAACCGTCGAATTCTCGTCGACTTGATAAACAAATTATCGTCACTGAAGTAACACACACAAAAAACCTCTGCCACGGCAAGAGAGAGAGGAGGAATCGCTGGGTTTTCTTCCCCCGCGGTTGGTGACCTCTCGCGGCCAGGGAGATGAAACAGGTGAAGATCTGCGGCTGCTGCGAGATAAGAAGACGTTGACATCGCCCTGGTGTCCTCACTTCCTAGTTTATGGTGTTTTGATCGAGCGAAATCGTAAGGAATTTATCACATCCACGCGGTGGTTGCTACGTTAATAACGGGTCTTCTAGCAGGGGATTCTTAACTCTGACAATTAATGACGGCCATCTTGTTGAAGCTACATCTGTCAAATTAGCTGTCATTTATGGAGAGTCATGGAAAATTTAACTTTTTAGGGGAAGCACCTAATGACTAACCCTATACAAAGAACCTTGATAATGATATTGAGATAACCGCAGAGGTGAAAACTACATTTACGATAGTGTACCTTGTTTCATACTTTTTACAATTTTTTTGTCTGTAGTTTTTTCCAAATCGATTGAAACCGATGGTCTTCACGTCACTAACATTCGATACGAACTTGGCAACATCGGAAGCTTATTCATATCACTTTATTTAAGTTTCTTCTTCTTCTTCTTTTATTCTTGTTGCTTTGACTGTGCGTACGACATTGCCAATTATTTGTGTTTTGGGGTCGATAATGGTTAGTTCCGAAATTGAGAAGAATTTCATATCACGAAACAAAGACTTTATAATTTAGAATTTTGTTAGATAGATAGATAAATCTTGTTCGATTGATAGCCTGTTCATTTTGTGGAAATTCACATTAAATATAGGATAGAGAAAATAATTCTTGTCTGCTTCAATGTCATGTATTTTTGTAGCTCCATATCTCAATAAATATTTATTCTTCTGTGTGATGGATCATATTGATAGATTACATAATTGAATTTTCTACTTCTTCTTTTATTCTTGTTGCTCTGAGTGTGCATGACATTGCCAATTATTTGTGTTTTGGGGTCGATAATGGTTAGTTCCGAAATTAAGAAGAATCTCATATCACGAAACAGAGACTTTATGATTTGGAATTTTATTAGATGGATAGATATATCTTGTTCGATTGATGGCCTGTTCATTTCTTGTCCGCTTTAATGTCATATATTTTTGTAGTTCCATATCATATTGATAGATTTTTCTCTATGAATTCGAATTGAACCAAACCGCTAGCGAAACAGCCCGCAATTGAAGTGTTGATGAACGCACTGTTGAAAGTGTCTCTTTTTCCCAGCTCCTCCTTCAGTTTACTCTGGAATCGATAACTCTGATCGAAAAAAACCAAACAAACGGAGCTTTTTCACTCGACGGAGAAATCGGGAGCGAAAAACGTGAAATGTTGATAAACCAAGAAGCCATATTTCATTCAGGAAGTCTCTAAACCGAATCAACAGAATAATAAAGCATTCGATACATGTATTCCAGCAGGGCGATAAGAATAGCTGTCTGACAACTTCCGCGTACATTTCATGGCTTGTTTTCAGTGGCGTCGCGGCGTCTGAAGGGCTGCTAAATTGCTCGGGAGAAAAAGGGGTCGCATAACTTCATGGAATTTGTTAGCTCTTTATTTATTACTCAGTAAAAACATTATATTTGACATTTCATTTCCTCATTTTTCCGAT